CAACCAAGATCGTTTTGTGGCGGTAAGTAGGGAGGGTGTGGTTGAAATTTTAGATATTCGCCTAGAATCTTGCTTCGAGGCTGTTACATCTGCTGCTGTTTCTGTTTACGTAGATTATTAACAGTCTTTCGCTCTTTTTTTGCGGTAATCATAAAGTTGGACGGATTAATAGATATGGGACTTTTAAGGGTATCAAGCGCCTTCGCCATCCTCGCCGGTATGCAGACTTTGTCTATAACTATGTGACACAACTCAAAATAAAATTTTATAAGTGGCTGTCAATGAGACGTCGTTCATGGTAGCTAGAACTGATTAATACCGTTTGAAGCCTTTCTTTGTATTTAATATGCAGCAAGAAGTCCAAAAGGCCGGACGTCCGTATCGCGATTTGCGGCGCCGGTGGGGTCACTCGATTTTCTTCCTCTCGAGGGAGATGAATGAGTACAGGTCTGTGATGAATAAACAGGAGAGTTCTCACTATGCTTTCCACATGGTTATAGACATTTCTTTCAATTTAAGGCACTCCTAGTTCATCCAGCAGAAATGGAGATCGGTGCCGCACGATAGACTTCATGAAAAGAAGGGCACCACAGATGGCCCCTATTAAGTTGGTATATGGGGATACCCGTATCCCAGCAGTTGAAGTAATTCCTTTTCTCTGTTTGTTCTAAAAATGCGTCAAGGCCTAAAAATTACTTGCCATACGAATTCCAGTTGTTTTATTAAAACAAATTGTGGTAGATTTATTAAACTTTATTATTTTTAACGTGTAGAAGTATGAACATCTGGAACAGTCAGTTATTGGGATATGCAGTAAAGTTTTCATCCAGGTTTGGCCCTGAACTGCACCAAAGCTGAATTCGTTAAATTGACGTTCTGTTATTCTTAGTAGTGTGCAGTTCCTTCAGCTCTATGAAATTTGCTTAGGATGCCAAAGGCTTTGAATACTGGCCACTTGGTCGTGGTATCTTTTACAATAGTTCGAAGACGTTTATCATTTGGGTCAACGGTGAAGATAATTTGCGGTTTATAAGTATGCAGAAAGACGGAAATATCAAAGAAGCATTCCAGCGGTTGACCGATGGCGTCAAAGTGTGTGGTAAAATTCCTACCATAATCTTGCATGCGTGTCCATTGATTTGCAGGCGTTGGAAAAGCATCTCCAGTTCCTACCGGCGGATCCTGAGTATGGCTGGCTGACTTTCGATCCTCGAAACCTTGGCTCGACCGTACGAGCATCGGCATTTGTAAAGTTGCCGCAGCTAAGTAGCAGAAGCGATTTTAAAGTACAATTTAGTGTATATTCTGGCTGGTAACTTGCTGTTACGTCTTTTTAGAAAGTCTGCGAAGAACATAATATAGATGTATGTAAAATGGACGGATCAGTATGCCACGTCAGCAATCATCAGGTGCTTGGGGTGACCGAGTTCGAAGCCGTTAAACAGTTGTACGATGGGCTGAAGGTTTTGCTTGAAATCGAAAAAAGCAAACCGTGACATACGTCTCTCCCTCGTCAGAAACTCGTCGTCAGTCATGGATTTATATGATTGTATTGCGTCGAATTCTTTAGGTTCATTTTCGTGCTTTCTCGAATCTTTGACATTTGATTTAAGTCATTTTTCTGCATGTTACTGTGTCTTGAGATGCAACGCTAGAGAA